AAACAATTGAACTTCGAACGGCAGTCGATCTTTTAAAATCGCTTTTAGATTTTTTAATTTCACAGAGAGAATTATTTGACGACTACGAGACTAAGGCAAATGAGAAAACTGATACTCAATACAGTGATGAGAATCAGCGTGTGCGAAAAAGGAAAAGGCATCACGATGACGGACCTGCAAAAGAAGTTGTGCTCAGAGGAAAAGAGAAATTAAAAGTTGATACATATTTGCCAGTACTAGACATGCTGTGTACAGAACTGTCGCGGCGCCTAGAAGCTTACCGGGAAATAAATGATCTGTTTGGGTTTCTAACAGATTTCTCGACAAAATCCGACGCTGAAATTAGACAGGCTTGCACAAAGTTTAAGGAACATTATTTCGAGGACATTGAGCCTGAGTTTATAGACGAAATGGTGCAGTATAAATACTTCATCTTACAATTAGAAGACGCCGGAAAAAAAATTGTGCCTACCGAAGAGTCTTACAAACTGATTATTGGTAACATGGCACAATCAACTTTCAACAATGTAATGACAGCTTTGCAAATATATAGAAGTCTAATGATTACAAACGCCACTGGTGAACGAAACTTTTCCAAATTGAAATTAATTAAAAACTGTCTTCGTTTAACTATGTCTCAAAACCGTTCAAATTCATTGGCCATAATGGCAATTGAAAATGATGTATTGGAAAAGGTTAACTTTCAGGATGTCTTGAACGATTTTGTAACAAAAAAAGTTAGAAGAGTTAATATTTAAGCTTATTGTATGTTTTTTTTAAATGCATATATTAATTACTTATATTCTTTTCGTTTGATTCAATATTTTTATTGAATAATGTGATAATATACCTATGTAGTAAAAAACAGCGTAATTATGAATAAAGTGTTGTGTTAGCGAAAAAATATATTAAGAAGTTAGAAGACGGTAGGAGGGGCCGAAACGAGCATTTCCTAGGGGCCGCGACATCCATAAGCCGGCCCTGGGGGGGGGCGAGACGAGCATTGCCTAGGGGCCGCGACGTGCATAAGCCGGCCCTGAATCCGATTCTGCCTCTGCGATAATACTTCTGATGAAAATAAAACTTTTCAAGACTGTGCTCATAAAAGTTGTGTGAAATTTGAAAATTATTACATGAATCTTAAAAAAAATATAATCATATACATCTATTTTAAAAATATATGAAAACGATATCCAAATTCTTTCTTCAAATAGATAATATTAAAACAAATTTATTTCAATATTAATCAGACAAGGGGTATGTTTACATTTACTAGCTGACACGGTGAGCGTTCGAGAATAGAGCAATATTCTGCTGAAAATTTTTTTTATTTTGTATCAAGCATGTTTGCGGAAATATTTTTTTTCTATGTCAGATTGCGACGCAACTATTCAAACGGGTTGCGTAATTTGTTACGACCATTTGTAACTATGATAATTCGCATAAACCATGTTTAAATATTTAAATACAGACGTTACTTCTACAAGCATAAAATTCTCATCAAAATAATTATCAAGACCCAAAACAATAATAATGACGATAAAAGCTTCATTCATAAAAGATAACATTAAATGTCCAATTTATTTGAGCTTTCAAAAATTGACGTCACTAGTCATTCACTCCTGTTGAGTCTTGAGAATGGGCATCTATTTTTGAGTTCTCGAAACATGCCAACTTTTATTTTCCTTTTTATATTTTTTGAAGTCAATGAAGTTTTTATCTTTTCTCTTCAGTTTTTTGGGTTTATAACACAGTATATTAAATTACTTCAAACGATATTAAAATAAGTTTCACGTATGGTAATGGCAGACGCTCTTAAATTGAAAAAATAATAATTAGTCACATCTTCCTAAAATTCAATGCAGAACAATTTTTTTACTGCTAGCTTTGAAAACTAAAAAGTTTGAAAGCTACACAACTTCTAGTAGCTCCAGTATTGCTGCGTAAAAGAAACACAAACAAATGATTATTTAAAAAAAAATTTTGTTTATTTTTTCCCAATATTTTTTACATTGCCGGTTAATGTACAACAACATTAATAGTAATATGTAAAATTTCAGAACTACCCCTAGTGATTGCTATCCAACAATAGCATTCTTCTTTTGCCCTTTAGCAGTACAGTCTACTAGGTTTTTCTTGGGGGGAGGGGACATGTTTGTTTTCAAGACCCCCCAGTTTGTGATACTTTGGCAACATGTCCAATAATGACGTTTCTCTTGGATTTGGATACTGCGTCAGTGAAAATAAAGAATTTCTACCGCATTATGGCAATAAACTCCAACAGTTTCCGCCTACGGAAGGGTCCATTCATGGAATGGCACTCTGATCCGTTGGTGAGGTTGAATCCAGTGGAACGAATGAACAACATGGCCAGGGTAGACATGTGCTGTGATTAAAAATGGTTAATGTGATTTTTTGGAGGTCTGGGGGAGCTGGAATGAGCAGTAAAAGCACCACTCTTCCAACACACGAAAGTTTCCCGTAAGCTGATTCTGAGATAACAGTGAGAAGCAGTTTGTGAATCTTTACGCTTGATGATATACCTGAAAAAAAAAAAACTCACCAATAACGGGCAATGGAATACCTGTAACTGACGTAGTGTGGGTGTCTTGATCCTGATTGGTTGTTGAAACTTTGCATTTGTTTACGTTAGCAACCGTTCTTTCCATTATATTTCGAGTAAGCCAAGCCCGCCAAGTATCAATTCTCTTAAGCAACACATTCTATATTCTTTCACAAAGTGTTGCGGGTTCGCATAAGCGATATTTTATAAGAAAACAAGATATACTTTAGTTGTAATAAATTAGCAACATATTACAAAAATATAAAAAGTATAGAACAAACAATCGATAGGTGAAAAGAAAAACGATGTCTAAAAATAGTTATTCTTCCTATGTGTCTTCCTATGTAAAATGTCCACGTCCTGTAAATAAATGTGCTCTTGTCTAAAACAACCTGTTTCTTCTTTTTGTGAGTCGTAGTTCAATAGAGGTATAAAAATCAAAGTTCGACTTCGCAACACAAAGACTTAAATTATTTCAATATATATTTCTAACACAAAGTTGGCCACGAAGCTATTGGCTATCGAAATGGGCTGCAGGTGGCGTAGAGCACAACTCTCTACCTATGGCAACACTTCGCATGCTTTCACCATTAGCGTGTGGAAAGTCATAGAGGAAGGAAGTACGTTAGTTTCTCTCTTGATTTTCATATAGATTAAAATATTTTAAGTTGGAAAACTATATAGAACCGAAAACTACATTAAACATAGTTCTAAAGAAAAGCATCACTGAAATTTAAAAAAATTTTTTTTTATTAAATAAAAAAGAAAAATATTAAGAAAAGGGAAAATATCGTAGTACATTCCTATGCAACTGAAAAGAGGAGAGGGAAGGGAGAAGGGCCAAAGGCATGAAACCAGTCTCTCCCCAGATGGCATATTCGAGCGTTTACAATAAAATACATAAACAAATAATAAATCTAAGTTGAGTAAACAATACAGATGGGAAAGAATTATATTTCAACCAATTCGATGTGCGATACAGCGCTGTATTTATTAAATTTCACGTTATTTAACATTCTTATTTGGATGGAGAAACTTAGCTCGAATTTAACACGTCATTTTGTTTGCGGGCGATCAACTAGCGCAGACATCATAGGTCATATGTGTGAGTATCCGTGATCTTCTTCTCTAGGTACAAGTACCCAATTGTAATTGTTCGCGCATACACGAATCGCATCAATGCCTCTTATATGCTTTCGCATACGTGAATCGCATTGATTTGTATGAAATCGCAAGCGAATACTATAACTACCGCATGTATGACGATTACGGCCCCATCACATGCGTGACAAGTCTCTTTTTTTTTTACACGTAGGTTCGCACGTGAAAGGGGTTGATGGATACAGGGAACTTGGACTTTTTTGAACCATTCTTACTTTCCCCGATTCACGCGTAACTGGTCATGAACGCTATTCATGCTTGCGCGTGTAATCCATCTTGCCTATAATTTCTTAACAATATTCTTAAGAGCCATTGCTCGCTATTCATGCACCCCTGGTCGCTGTCGACTGAAAAGAATAAGATGATTAGTACAATATATTCTGTCGCAATTGTTTTTTTGTCAAACTAGTTCTCTTACATTTGCGTAGCTCAGCCACCGCATAATTAGTGCACTCGCATGATGGGTGTGCAGGAAAACGCTCTAGTCTGAATGTACTGATAGTTCGTTCGTTGCTGTGAATCGTTTTGTCTAACGGCAGAAATGTTAAACTGAACATCGAAAGAAAAGGAAACACAATCAGAAATTAGTAAATATTTGTTTTATATTTAGTTAGTTTCTTGTATAGAATACATTGCTTAACTTAAACAGTTTCATTTAATTTATTCGTAATATGCCTAATTATTCAAGTTATAAATAAATGAATCTTTTCTAATCGCCAGTTGTTTTAAGTTTATATTGTAGTCGGAAAATGAGCCACAACATTGCGGAATTTCCCAGTTTTCGGGAATTCAAATGATAGATTTAATAATTATTTTACTGTGTTACAAGAGATGTTTATTGTGTTTTTGAAGGTGATAAGTTAAGATAAAAAATTTGTTCTTTAATTATTTTTTTGATATAGTGAGAACTTCTTACTAAAAATTTAAATTTCATTATAATCCTCTTAACGAATTTGGAGGATATCTTAGTTTTTCTTTCTATGAAAGTCAGCATTTTTATGTACTATTTTCAATGTTAGATTTGCTTTTGAAGATAAATATTTAATATTTTGATTTTGTCCACTATAATGAGAAACTGTTTATGCCACTTTTATTGAAGTGAGTATTACCAGAAAATGTGTTCAGGCATTTAAAAAATATGCTTCAGAGTACAAAAAGGCTTTTTTTTACAATATACATAAATAAATATATATATATATATACACACAGATATATGAAATGAATGCAGAAGTTCAAAGCACATAACTGAAATATTTCCATATTGGTCGTGTCAACTACTATCGTCAAGGCACTTAAGGTGTTATTAACTTCCAAAAGTTTTTAAAAAAAGAATCTTTTGAAGTTAACCAGTTGTGGCCATTAATTTCTGTTAGTCCCTTACTGTTAATTTTTAATGTCTTACTGTCCATTATCTGAATGCTATCGAAACTAGTCTCTTGTTTTGCCCAATTACTTATCAGAGATATGGAGTGAAAGTTGGCTTTGTTTTTTTTGTTTGCAGTTTTTTGTTTTTGATAAGGACAATTGTTTAAAATATAATATTGCAACTTGTGAATTTCAGATTTAACTAATCATTTTTTGACTTGCTCCATTCTCTACTATGCCGTTGTAATTCAAGGTCATTTTTTAATAGCTTATTTTGCAATTGTTGCAGTTAGTTGTCTTACTTTCAAACTGCCAATTTCTGCATCGTTTTTAAAGTCACAACATTATTGCATTTATACCTACTCTTTTTCTTTCCTTTTTTATACTCTTTGTATTAACAGAGTTTTCCGGTTGTCCAAGTTAGTAGTGGTTCACATTAACTGAGATAATCTGACCTCTACTGCAGTTCCCAATTTATTACAGGCAAAAAAACAAATAATTAGCCATTGATTCCTTTTGCAATGCAAGTATATGTTGTACAGGAACAGCTCTATGAATTGAAAAACTTGAAAGAAAATCTAAGATTGGGTGGTATTATTATATATAAAGACATCACTGAAAATTACTCTCTTAAGCAGAAGGCAAAATCATGGCAGCTCATAGGAATACTGCACAAGTTGTGTTATTTATCACCATTGCATATTAAAAGGAAAAAACTATCTCAAAACTAGAACACATACGTTATTAAAACTTACAAGGAATTCCATGGTAAGGTCTACCAAATGAGAAAAATACTAAATAAATATTTTTTAGCAAAGTGTTATTTTAAAGGTAAACAGATTTAGAAATGTTAACTCTCTCATTTACCACTGTTAAAATTTAGGAAAATATGTAATATTATATAATAACTAAATTTGATCCTTAATTTTAATTTTCCCCCTTATACTATTTTATGTTGTGTATATATCACAAAATAACAGAAAAATTGTAAGCTTTTGAAAAATAATTAAAGGCAAACTAAAAGAATATCTCGAATAAAATTTCTGAAAAAAAAAAAAATATTTAAACTAAAAAAAGGATTAATTGATTAACAACTTTAATGCTTTTTTTATATTGTAAACTGAAAATTGTGAAAAATTAAACATTTAAAGGTGCATTTTTAAATGAAAGGTATTTATTTAAGAAAATAATGGTAAAATTTAAAATCACTAATAAATTTATTAATAAATTACCCCCTCCAAATAAAACACATCAATATCTCTGAAGCGGAATATCATGTGAATTTTAACTATATAACTAGACAACTTAAGATAAATCTTACTAAAATTAGAGAATCAATTAAACATTAAAATTAAATGATTAACAATGAGTAAATAAATCAGAAATGTACTTTTCATTAAAACAGGTGGTTAAGAAAAAAACCTTTTCATGAAAAAATAGAATAAAAAGGCAGTGTTTTTATGGGGCGATGGCTTATTTTTACAGAAAGGGCTAGGAGGGTGCATTTATAGAACAAAGGGCAAGCAGGATGGGCTGCCTTTCTGAAAACACTTAAGAACACTTCATATGTTATGCAAAAGTATGCATAACAAACTCTTGATAAATTTATTTTCAAATTAGTTACAGGCTGTTATAGCTACAAAGCTTCATGTACCCAAATAACCATTATTTTTTATAGATGACGATGCACAATCTCGTTGAGCCTTAATTGAACAACATTCTGGGCGATTCCAGCTAATGACTTGGCTGTCTATATCGCCTGACATGAATCTCATAGAATATTTATAGTATGTGATCGGGAGATCAGTTTACAAAAAAATAATGCACCCACAACACTTTTGCAATTATGGACATCTATTGAGGCTGGATGGCTGAATATTCCTGCAAGAGGCTTCCAACTACTTGTAGAATTCGTGCCCCGTCGAGTTACAGTTCTTCATAGAGCTAGGGGAAGTCCAACAGGATATTAAGAGGTATCCCATGACTTTTGTCACCTCAGTGTATAGTTCAACGCATTAATAAAATGAGTTAAGTTCATTAAATTATCATTTGTATGTTTCAGAGCCAACTCTCAGTAGTACTGTAATTTCAAATCAGAGGTCCAATACATTACACAATTAATTACTTTCCATTCATTAATTACAAAATTTTAAAATATTATTTGAAGTTTACTTAGCTTCTAGTTGTAAAATTTATCTATAAAAATAGTTTATAAACTCAGAGAACTATCCACATTTGTTTAGAAATTTAAAAAATAGTTTTTGTAACATCTATGGCATAACAAAATTTTATTAATTTAAAAAAAAAGAAAAAAAAAAGACTGCTATCTCAATAAAAAAGAAATTTCATAATTATGTAGCTGAAAGAAAACAATACATTCAAAATTTATTTTAACACTTTCTTATTTGCATTTTCATTGTGAAAAAAAAAATACAAATGTTTAAAAATTTAGCTATGAAACGTCCTGTACTTAGCAGGTGAATACTCTGGAATGACCCTTCTTCTAGCAATATTAAAATGAGAAATTAACAGTATTAAATGAGGCCTATACATTTAAATCATGGTATGATATTTAAAAAGAAAAAAGCAATTTTATTATTTAAATTAAATCTGTGCATATGCATGTCCTCATATTTTGTTGTTAACATATGAAATTTATTGAGGTTTGCAGTCTAATTTCTTTTTAAATGAAAATGCTTTAAACAATAGTCTCTGTTGTATGTAGCACCTTTACCCCATGGCAGAATCACGGTGACATTGTCTCAGAATGTTACTGATTTCTTGCAGAAAGATTTTTCATTTGGGAAGTAAAAAATTTTGGTTTTCTTTTCTGCAGAAATTTTCAAAAGCTTCTATCTTCTCTTCAGAATTATATTCAAAATTATATGCCATTCTTGTGCATCGGAGTGGGGAAAAAAAGGCTTGTAATTTTTCTATTTTCATTTGAGAATAATGAAGTAAAAAGTTTGGTATTCTTTTCTGCAGGAATATTCGTTCTATATTTTTTTTTCATTAGTTACTGCTATGGATTTCACTATTTTTANGAAAATTACTTTTGTGGGGGTCGATGGAGATTTCAAAAAATTATATAGGGGTCGATGATCAAAAAAGTTTGGCGACCCCTGCTTTAAACAATAGTCTCTGTTGTATGTAGCACCTTTACCCCGTGGCAGAATCACGGTGACATTGTCTCAGAATGTTACTGATTTCTTGCAGAAAGATTTTTCATTTGGGAAGTAAAAAATTTTGGTTTTCTTTTCTGCAGAAATTTTTAAAAGCTTCTATCTTCAGAATTATATTCAAAATTATATGCCATTCTTGTGCATTGGAGTGGGGAAAAAAAGGCTTGTAATTTTTCTATTTTCATTTGAGAATAATGAAGTAAAAAGTTTGGTATTCTTTTCTGCAGGAATATTCGTTCTATTTTTTTTCTTCATTAGTTACTGCTATGGATTTCACTATTTTTAATTTGTTTTTAAATTTTATGATGGCTTACAAAGAAAGAAAAAGGAAATAATTAACATGTTTTCTCCTTACAAAATGCAAGAATATAGCTCATAATAATAGAATAAGAAATATTACATATTCAATTTTAAAAATTACATTATTTTTTCCGAAAAGTTTTCTTTTGAAGTTGACGCTTTTGTTGCTTTAAATTAGTAACATATATATTTGTTATTATTAAAAGTACCTTACAGAAAGATATTAATGCTGGAGAGATTTGTCGCAGAACGGCGGAAGAAATTCTGCCACAAGGCACCTTTACATATCATTAATATATAAAAGATAAAGTAAGCTTTAGTTTTCCATATTGTAGTTCTAAATTGTATTTTCCTGGTTTTCCTCTTCAGCTCATTATCAGTGGCAAACTAACTTTGAAGGTAGTTAAGTTTCTCATTTATAGGAAATGTAAAATCAGTTTTGTAGGAAATGTGACATCTTTTGGAATCTCCTTGTTTTTTCCGTTCCCCCTTGTTTACAGTCTCATAGATCTGGTTATGCCAAATAATTAACCAGTTATTGTAATAATTTATTAAGGTAATAAATAGTTTCAATTGATTACTAACAACCACAAGCCTGTAATCTAATTTACAATTAATCTAATTAATTATATTGAATTTACTCCAATCAAATAATTTCAACATTCATCATTTATTTAGTAGGAAATTCCAAGCTAACTGCATTATGAAGTTATATATAAATTGTAAACCATTTTATGCTAATAATTAATTTTATTCTTTTCATTTTTAGTGTTGAAATGGTGCAATTAGGCGCATAATTTGTTTAAAGTGGAAAAGTGCATTTGTTTTGGTGAGTAAGTTATCTCTATGTTAATATTAATAAACATTCATATTATTTTCCTTGCCCAGCTTCAAAATGATTTTTAAGATTTATCATGGCACATGTTTGATTAAAAAGTTAACTATTCTAAATTTTATTAATAATTTGTTTTGATGATGCTTGCCAATGAGGAGCTTACACCCCATTTACTTGAGGACTGAAAATAGGCACGTAAAACTGGGCCTCTGATGTTACAGGCCTGAAAAAAAGGCTAATCAAATTTACACCATTTCTGAGGTGAAGAATCCTATAATGCAAGGATAGGCAAAAGCAAATAATATGAAGCAAAGAACCAATCATCATGAACCTGAATATCGGCCTGACTCGGAGATGTCTTCCACAGACAATGCATGCTTGAAAGCAGGCAAGGAGAATCAGAGATTAAAAAAAATCAGGTATTCTTTCCTCGTTTAAATGGAGTGTTAAGGAAAGTAGATTCTATGGGACATTTTTCAAAAGTTAGAATTTCTCTCAAGTGAAGAGTTTTTGTAGTCTTAATTTAATTGTTCAACATAGATTTTTTTTTACCAAGTTTTTAAATGTAGCAGATCTCATTGATAAAAGTAACCTCTAAATGTTTTGAAGTGTAAGAATGTCTTAAGTGCATTTGGCAACAAACATTTATCTAATAATCTTGGAAACTTTCATTTTTAAATGCACATTATGACACTAAAAGAGTTAATGCTATTATGTGAATAGTTAATTGTGAATAGTTATGGCTAATTTAGTGATTTTTATTCTGCTCTCTCTTAGTGTTTTAACTTAAGTTTTCAAATGAAAACGAGAACACTGTGTTATGCTTTATTTAAAAACGATTGTTAAAGCAGTGTTTTCACTACAGCTCGAGAACGCGAGAATCTCGCATATTTTTTTTCTATTCTCGCATTAAAAAATTATTACTGCTAGAAATTCGCGCATTCTATAAATAAATTTCAAAATTCGTGAATTTCTCGCATTTTGGAAGAAGCTTCGAATTACGCTATTTAGAATAATATCCGTTACACTTTTCTTCCTGGATCTTTCATTATTTTCAACATTTGCTCCGTTATCTAGCTTCCCTATTTACCAGTATTGTTCAGAACCTTTTCAAACAACAGAACACAGCCGAACCACGGAGCCCCTTTCAGGACACATTTCTCTGCAATCACATGTTTACCGTAGGTAAGGTTTTTTCATGTAAGACGTTCAAATTTTTTATGCACTAATGTAAGATGGACAAATACCTAGTAAAGGCATAATCTTCTATGATGATGCAGCAAGAATATTCAATGCTTTAAAGAAATAGAAGACGTTAAAAATGTATTATAATAAAAGAAATGATTTTTTTTTCAAGTCTATTTGTGTTTTTTTAGTTTTTAGAAATCTCACTTAACTTTCTGAAATCTCACCTTGTTTTTGAAAAAGGGTGAGAAATTCTCACCCACTTTTTTTTTCTATGATAAAAACACTGGTTTAAGGTTTATTGATTATACCATTAGATGCTTAGAGACAAAAAATGAAGGAAATAATGAAAAACTTTTTTTTCTTACTTTAACATGCTGAAACTGAAATAAAAACTGAGATAACAGAAAATAATTTCATTTTATTAATTACTTGGGACTACTAATAATGTGGTCAGTACCAGTTCCCTTTTCTTTTTTTCATATGTTTTCTGAAAGTCATCTAGTTTATCAACAGCATCTAAAGACAGAATTTTTCTTTTCTTTTTAAGATGAATTCAAAGAGAGATCTAAAATTTAGTCTCTGTGTTTAAATCAATATCTATAGACATAAGTGAATCTGTATATCAATTGCTTCGAATTTAATCTGTGTGTGAGAGTGAGGGGAAAATGTAAACTCTCTTCGAGAAAAGAGTAAGGATTTTTTTTATTTTTACTTCAAAGTTCCCTAATATCCCTAAGAGGGAAAAAAACTTTCTATTCACATTAGCTTTTTGACACAGAATTTTTAATAAACATATTTTTCATGCTTTTTTTTTCATTATTTTGTATTTAGTGAAAAATATTAGATTTATCATTTTAATAATTTATGGTTCGGAAACACTGGTGTCTTCTTCTGGGTTAATGGTAAAATCATTTGAACGTGTCTCTCTTCCAAACAAACAGTCATTTTTCAAATTTGCAGTCATATAGATCTAAGAGAAACACTTATTCATCATTAAGATTTCTTAAATTTACAAAATCTAAAAAAAATCATAATTTATTGATACAAAAAAATATTGACATTATTATCAATTTATTGATTTAAAAAAAGTATTGATAAATTTTTGAGTATGAGAGAAAAAGAATTTTTCGGACTGTTATTTTTGGAATTTATATTCTAGTACGAATATAATTCTTATAATCTAGCAGATTTTTTTCGTAACTGTTATAATTTTTTTTATAATTTAAAAGTTCCAAAATATATTTTTGTTTCTAATTAGAGCGTCAGAAAAAATATATATAGAGAGAAGGAACACTAGTGTCACATCTGTGTCAAAGGGATAAAAGTAGAAAAGGGCCTTCATTAGTAGTTGTTTTTTAACAAAATGAAGTAACTAAGTTTTTTTTTATTAAAGGAAATTAAAAAAAAACCTAAAATTCAGGGAAAGAATTTATTGTTCTTACCTAACTTAAAAATTTGGTAAATTATAGATATCTCTTCTTTTTATCCCCCAACTCACTTGACAACTTGATGTTGTTACCAAATGTGGTACAGTGTTATTTGTTTCTCACACTTGCAGTAGATTTCACGAGTAAGGTTATTTATTTTTATTCCTTGTATTTTTGTAATTGTTACATGTTCTTTTATTAATTAATTAATTTTTTTAAACAGAATCAAGACAGCACCTAGGCAGTAAAGATCCATATATGTAGATGTTTAAATTGAACTATTTGAAGAATTCACCATAATTGCATTTATATTTTTAATACTTAAACCCCTTTGTTCACTTTCTACTTTTGCTATTATATTTCTGAGTATGTAAAATTTAATCCATTTAAATGAAATTATTTTATGCTTATTAATCAATATNAGTTATTTTTTTTATTGAATATATTTTAAATTTAAAAATGAATGTTAATTTGTTTTGCTTTTACAAAAAAGTAAGATTTTTTTTTTTCTGTCAATCTTCCTCACTGTCTGACATGTAAAGTCACATAATTTAGTTGTGTTTAGTGTAGTAGTTTTTCCTTTATTATCAATGCTTCCAAAAATTTTAGCTTAATTGTTGGACATGTGCTTTTTTTCAAATGTTATTGTGATTATTTTTCCTACTTGTTAATTTATGTTTTAGATATTTTCTAGCCTTAATTATTATAAAACATTCCCTTAACTGTATTTTTATATTTGTGACTTTTGAGCATAAAACTTTTAAAACTCTTTGTGAAAGTTCAAAGGCTTACTGCAATAAGGAGTTGATGTTTGGTATTTACTCTCATTCTTGCAGCTATAACATCTTTCTGCATTATCCACCTCAAGATTATGTTGTGATTGTCATAAAAAATTATCTTGTTTGTTGTGGCCATTGCTGAAAAAAATTTTGTTTCGCTTAATTATCTACTTTTAAAAATTTATTTTACAAATAACTTAAGCAGGCTGAAAACAAACTTTGTAATGTTGTTTTTTTTTTTTTTTTNTTTTTTTTTTTTTTTTTTTTTTTTTTTTTTACATATCCCTGTATTAACTGTATCATAGTTAAATCACCAATGGAATTATTACTTCCTATTTTATTCTTTTGATGTAGCAGATATGTTCATGTTTGAATATTGTCTGTTCTTACTTTTTTTCTTCTTAGCTCTTGTACATAACAAATAAAATAATCAATTGACCTAACAAAGAAGGTGTTCTAAAATCAGTTCTATACCTTTTTAGGTAAATTTTTTAAATGGTAAAAATGGGTTTGACATTTGTTTAAAATTGAAGGTACATCTTCAAATAAGAGTAATTTTGGACTTTTTTTTAAAATATATTTTTTTAAAAATTTTGTGAAATCTGAAAAGCAGAGCTAATTCTTTTTTGCTGCAAGCCTTTTTTTTTTTTTTTATTGTAACTGTTTTTTACTGCAAAAAATATTCCAAATAATTTTCAAATATTTATATGTGAAAAAGTATTTTATTTTTCAGGTTGTTTAAAATTGCTGTTTTATATTGTTACATTTTAGCCATATATCATTCTTATTAATAATATGTGATGTTTATTTTATGCTAGGCATAATAGTGCAATATATAAATAATAATATTAATAAATAATTGCATATTGTATGTTCATTCATTTGTAATAATATAATACTTATCTCTGGTAGAAATATTAATATTAATTAAAATTTAGTTATTAAATGATATTCTAGGAAATTTTAAACTCTGTATATACCTTAATCCTTGAATATAAGGTAATTTTTGCCTAAATGTTATACTGCTTTACTTACTTTATTGCATTGATTTTAATAAAAATATTAAAATAATTAGAACATAATTAATTTTTTTAAAATTATTTAATAACTTTTTTTTGCATTTTTAATATAGATCACAACATTTAAATTCTATACCAGACCCAAGTGTTCCTAGCTTGAGATGGAATTTTCCTAAGTTGTAACCAATATTTTTTTTTAGAATTAAATATTTGATTTGATTTTTCTTCTCCTTGTCATATTCACTACTTTATTATTCTTCATATTATTATTTAAATCTATTTTTTCTTCTAAAATGTCTGTTTAAAAATTTCAAGTTAATGTATGAAAGTTTTAAGGTTTATTTTTTAATAGCTTTTACTTTTTATTCCGAAAAGATATGATCTGTAAATGTATTTATCGATATTTCTGTAAAAATAATAATCTTTCATTTTATTATTTAGTTTGTCTTTTAGAGTGTTTTTTTTTCCCTCCCTTTGTTTACAATTAGAGGTTTAATTCTTATTTACATTATATATTTAAGTGATGTTGAATTAGTGTGATGATGTTACTATTAGGTAATAATTTAATTATCACTGAAACTTATGTTTTTATTTCTAGTTATTAAGCTGAAGTATTTTAAAATCATGGTTGTATATATATATGTTTATGTTTATATTTCCATCTGTTTTTAGTAAGATGATAACTATATAGATGATAGAATTTTTATTTACTATTAGTATATTTTATAAGTGTTTATTAGAGTTATATAAGAGACAGACAGCATTCTAAAAATTATTCAATCATTTATATTCTTTTTCCAATATAGCATGCAATATTGGTTTAAAAAGTGTGATTCCATGTAAAAACTTGAGCGGTCATTTCTTGTAAACTTGCTAGTTTTTATTTCTTCAATCTCTTTTTATTTTAAGGCAAGAAAAGCAAAATCAAATATTCATTTAAAATGATTGAAATCCTGCAGTATCACTTCAGTCTTTTAAAAAAAATTTCCTTTCCATATGTAATCTAAAACCTACTTATAATTTCTTAATTGCCCTTTAATTATTGGAAAAAAAGTTAATGTGCTTAAAGTACAGCTTTCTTACCTCATTCATAAACATTCTTTTTGTTGTACAACACCTAACATCGTTTTGCAATTTTGTTCTTTTACTGCCATTCTAACAGTTTGTTTGCTAATCTTGAAAAATTATATTTATTTTCTTTTTTTATTATAAAACTACAATCAGGTGGAATGCAATAAAAAAAATTATAGTCACTCCTTTGTCCTGCCATAACAATGCATGTTAGCTACTATCCAACATTCCTTTATTTGTCCCATGTGCCCATAAGTAAGAACAAAATAACAAAAATATATAATTTTCTTAAAATTATTATGATTAAACTATCACATGAAATGCAATAAGATCTAGTTCACAGCTACAACTTGCAATAGTATATTATATTTTAAAAGATTTCTTCATTTATTCCCTGTTATAATAAAAACTAAATATTAAAATAATAGACCACCCCCCCAATTGAAAAATCATATTTTTCAGTTACTATGATTAAACTATAATCAAGTAATAAGGAAAAACATTTTCACTCATAAAACCTGCATGTCTGTGACATGCTAATCTTTCTTGTTTATATATATATATGTGTGTCCCATGAGCTTATAAGAATCACTAAGTGAGAATATTGTTGAATTACAACACTTTAAAATAAATCTGAGAGTTATTTGTTAATTGAAATGAAGAAATAAGAATTGTATTGAAATGAATCGTGAAAAATCACATAAACTGTGTTTTGTTGTGTTATATTTGTAAAATAAAATATTTAATAATATATAAAATAATAATATATAAAATAATATATAAAAAATTTTATTTTTCTATTTTTTAGGTGTAGTGCAGAATACCTCTAATAGTGAAGATCTTTATTATCGTATATCAAAAGCAGGTTCTAATCAGGGCTCAATATTTATTTGTAAAGTATGCTCCTATAGTGCATCCAATGCAGCTACACTAAAGCGTCACATTCGAATACACACTGGTGAAAGACCTTATTTATGTTCGTGGTGTGGTAATTCTTTTCGATTAAAACATCATTTAAAACAGCACATGCTTGTCCATAGGAAAGATCTATAGCTCATTTAGTTGGTTAATGTATGAATTTTAGTAAATTAGTATTGGAAAAAAAAAAATCGAACAATTTACATTGTTGCTGTGTGAAATGTGATTTTAATGTTGTAAGCTGAAGATGTTATTCTGAAAAATTTCAATGTTCTATTATTTCTAGCTTTTTAAAATCATTTTCTCTATTTTAAATTCTTTTTTTTTTTTGAAACTGTATGATTAGGGTAGTTGAATCCTGTGTGACAGGTTGCCTTAGTCATTTAAAATTCATAACTGGTGAAGTTTTACTTTTTCTCTATGGTTTTTTCCCCCATCAATTTTATAAAATTTATTAATATTTGAAAAATGATCTAAGCTTCAAGAAATATTTTAACCTTTCATTCACCCTTTTCTTACATGTGCAGGAACAGCTTAATTGCACATCAAAGCAATGATTGTTAATACTTAAACTCACAGTCGTTGTGTAACTTGCACAGCATGAGTTATTGTTAATTATTTGAAATATAGTGATGAACTGGCATAAATGCTGAGCTGACCATGGTTCTATTTCTAATTTTGGCTTGAAACCCTGCACTCGGCAATGCTGACCATATTGTGGTTGGTCTTAAAATTGTGGAGCTTTATTTTAATCAACAAATGGCAGTTACAGGAGTGCTTTTATTATTTCGAATAATTTTATTTTTATTCTATTAGTTAGTATAGGCTTTGAGAAAAAATTGTTTTAAGTCTGGAGTGTTAGGTATATACTATTTATGGAATGTATTATGACATTTCAACCCTCTCTATTTATTCAATTGTATGGTAAGACCTCATAGCTTTAGGAATTTGGTTATAGCTATTTCACTTTGTAATATTCTTCTTTTTTTATGCAAATATAATTTAATTAAAACTCTCTGCAAATGTAATTTAGTTAAAACTATTTGCCAATGAAATTTATGGCAGTTTTGTATGATAAATTTTGTAATTTCAATGAAATGATTCAAAGATTTTTTTTTTTTTTGTTACAGTCAGATACTTGTTTTCAGTTCTTGTGTGTTTTTTTCAAATTTCTTTTAATTCTAACTGTTAAAGTCATTCAAAATATCAAAAGATAGATATTAATTAATGAAAACATTTTATTTATTTTTTATATGAAGATTAAAAAGTTATTAATAGCAGTTAATATCAAGAAATTTTATTTCTTGTATTTTGTTGTTTTCTATTTTATTATTATTATCTAATTTTGAAAGACAAGCGAAATTTTGTGTCTTTAAATCATGCTTCAGCGAATTAAGTGTGTTAATTTGAGTTTAAATAAAGTTTGTGATGTGATGAGATGACTTTTGAGCAAGCAATATTTAAATTAACCAAGTTAAGTGTAGGTAAATAAGATTTCCAGATCTATCAACACATTTTTGTCTGATCTACAGTTGCGTAATATGAAGCTTATTGTTTGTTTTTCTCGTAAAAAACCAAGCATGTATTTTTAGTAAAATCTAACAGTTATAAAAGTGTTACTACATTAATAGTTTCTATTGATGACAAATTTTTCAAAATAATTTAAATTTATGTGCCTATTAAAATCAAGATAATTTAACTTTTACTGTCTATATGTATTTTTTAAGAAATATTTACAATTTAGCAATAGAATTTGCAAACTATTCAGTTTTTTTTAAAAGCATTTTTTATGAATGTTACACAAAAATCACATCTTGTATTATGACTTTTTAGGGATGTTATAAAAAATTTAAATAACAATTAGTGATTTCAAGTTGATATTAAAATAGTAAAAAATAAAACATTGTTGAAACTTAATGAATCAGGATAAAGTTCAACTGTCAGGATTATTATAAGTATATATGTGATAAGCCCTAGGTACATTTGTATGGAATTTTTCCCTCAGCACACTACATTGTTAATTATTATTATTGTTATTTTTTTAAAAAAAAGGAAATATTGGTTTCTTTTTTTGCTATTGCAATTTAATTCTGTTTGGTGGTATTTTTTAGTATTCCTCAAAAAGGAATTACTGATCTGAACCATTGATTGTTAGCCATAGTCACAAGCTATGAATAATAATAATTTAGAGCAAGATTTGTACTCTCTAAACTTTTTTGTTTTTTTTTAAATAATGGACTTTACATTTGTTTAATATTTTTTAATCCACACTAATATGATTTACACTTTAGGAATTAAATTTTGTATTTCATATGTTAAATTATTGATTTTTTGACATGAGTTTTTTATGCAAAAGTTTTAGTTAATCTGCAAAATATATTTGTGTAGTGTTTCTTACCTTTATATAAATTTATCTTGATTATCTTAAAATGTGAGAGCAAATAATGTTTTCTTATGTATTTAAAATCAATATTTTAATTATTGTTGCAGAGAATAATTAAAGTCTAAAATGCAATTATGTTCTTATGAATAACATATTTTATTGTATTTTCTACATAACTTTTTTTTATATACAATTTCTAGTTTTATATTATTTTTGTATTATAGTTTTCGTGGCTTACTTGTACATATGTAAATAAATTATTTATATGTAATTTTATTTTGTTAAGCTGTGATTGTTTTATAATAATGTTGGATCTGTGGAATGATTTGCAAGAACTTTTTTTAAAAATAGCAATAAGGCAGATTGAATGTTTTAGTTGCAGGGTTATAATTTATTTATGGGTGTTTATTAAATGTGTGAAAATCAGTTGGCCTTAAGAGATTTTCAGAAATGTGAAGAAAATAATACTCTATGTATGTATTATTAATATATTTTATCAAGTTTTGGTGACTAATATTGTTTAAATTTACTATTGAATTATAGGACATTGCTTGATTTTTTAAAATGAAAGTATGCTTTATTCAATCTCCTGAGCATATACCAAGAAAAAAAAGTTTTGCTTATTTAATTCCTTATTATCTATTGTTTAAACTTTTGACTGTAAATGATTTTATATTCTTAATTTTTTAAAGTTCTTTTTTGACTTTAAGAAAATAAAACAATAATTTTACTTAAACAGCTTTTGTCTTCAGTTCTTTTTTTACATTAAAATGTTTATTTATATTTTTATTGCTTTTTTTTTGTATAATTGTAGTTCATATTTTAAAAGATGCGTAAGCAAATCCTTTCTATATTTTAAAAAATTTATTATTTGTCATGTGAGTTTTTTTATAAATTCAATGATACGTTATTAAATTTGAATGTTACGTAAAATTAATTTTATCTATTCATGTTATTAAAACAATAGGGCAATGTTATTTAATTTGTCCACCTATCAATGTGTATGATGCAATTAATATATTGAAAAAAAAAACTTAACGTACTTGATACCAACTTAAAGATGCAATTTTTTTTAAATTGTGAAATAAATTGAAACTAAAAAGAAATCATATATAATTTTAATAAAAATGAAAGTAAATGCTTGTTGTATCCACCAAATTTAGGCGAATTGAAATTTTAGAAATGTTTCTTTTTAGAGGGGACCAGGGAAGTATTTTTTTAGTAATAAAATATATTTCTTGTGGTTTAGTGGTTGACTTTGTAACTTTTTGCTGGTGCACTTTTTTTACTGTCATCTTCAATTAGGTGAAGAGTATGGCAGCTGATGTAAAATTTTTTAATTAAATACTTTTTATACAAAGTGTAAGAATTCTAGTATATTTCTAACATGAAGCATTTGTGAATCATTGGACTAAAAGGTAGGAATAAATAATGTTTTTTTCTTTTATTTCTTACTTATCAGATGATAGAAATCTATTATATTGTAATTAACGATAGCTTATTTTTATTTAAATTATATGTCACTATATTCGAAATTTTTTATAATTACACATACATTTTTTTATTTTTTATAATTTGCATGTGCTCAAAAAAGTTATGCTTATTAATTTATGGTTTAAGTTAGGAGTAACAAGGAATGATATTTTGTTCACTTTTGTAAGTAGGCAAAAGCTCTTCACAACTGTCCTAAAAATCTATAGAGAATTTGTAACTATGTGTGGTGTATAAAACTTGTTTGCTGAAAATGACTTTTCTTTTAGTAACCATGTTAAATAAATGTGAACTATAAATTGCTTTCAGAAAAGTGTACTTTATTTCATAGTTGAAATTTTTTTTTTTTTAATTACTTGTCTAGAAAAAATAGTGTTATTCCTAGGTTATTGAGATAGAAAGTCATTAAAAAAAATTGAGTTATCTTAATATTATTAATTTTTAATATTATAATCTTATTTTAAAAAAACAAAATATTTGCCTTAAAAAAGGATTATTTAAGGTAAAAATTGAATAATGTAACAATTGTGCCACTCTCTCTTTTGTTTTGAAGAATTCTGGTATTGATCTTTTAGTGATAAAGTAGAAGAAGCCTCATCAATTTAATGTAACAAAATATATAAATTGTAATTTCTCTTATTACAGTTATAATTTATTCATATTTTGATATGATCTAATGCTGAAAAAAGTAACATGCAGTTGAAAAGTTCAATATTGAATCAGAAATGTTATAGATATAACTTCCATTTTCAGATTTTTAATTATTAATTGTTATTTAATTTTTAGATTTAAAATTCATTAGAACTTGTATTAGATGAATTCTCTTTTCCTCATTCTAATCTGGACTTATGATAAATCATTAAAAAATTTTATTTTTTAAAGATGAAACTTGTATTCATATTTTCATACTTTTGGCAACTTTTTGCCACTTCATAGTTTTTATTGTAATACTACTAAACATCACATCACATTTCTTTATTTCACATCACATTCTTCATGACATTACATAGTCACATTTCAAACATTTTATTTATTGTGTCTTTAATTACTTCATTTATAATTATTCTTTCCAATTATTTCATTGTAAAATGCTGATATAAATCTGAAAAAATATTATACTTTTAACTCCTGTTTATACAATGAGAGAATGTCCCATTTAGTTTATTAAGGTATTGTTAGTATTTTGCATAAAATATTTTGTGTGTGTTAGATTTTGTCCCCCAATATTTTTTTACGGAGAGTTTTGTCCTATAATATTTTATATGTGTATAATTTCCCACAACATTTCTACCTGATATTCTTCAGTTTCTTTTAATTTGTGGCACTGATTTTTTTCCACTTGCAAAATTTTTCTAAAAGTACCAATTTCCAAAAAAAGAAATGAAAAAGTATTTTAAAGCAAAATGCAATATGAATAAAACCTAAATGAAAGTACTTGTCCATATCTGGACTTTCATTTATGCTTTGTTCTGGTTTTTTGCTTTAGTTCAAAAAGCACTAAGTATCCATTGTTTTTGGATAATTTGATGTATAAAAAAAATTGTTCAACTTAAACACAATAAGACATATTGTATATATTGCCATTTTTTACCATTCTGAGAATTATCTGTGGCTATTACACCTTCCAATTCTGTGAACCGTTTAAAGTTCATTACATTTCTACTTTTTTATATTTCATTTGTCACAAATCTTAATCTGCAGGGTCAACTTTGATATCTATTTCGATTATAATGTTAATGTAAAAGTATTTTGTTATTTGAGTTTTCTCCTGCTTTCATTTAATAGTTAATTGTCCTAAAAATGTCAAATATTTTTACCAATTCAAAATTTAAAATAAATACATTTTTCGTAAATCAATTGATTCTATTTATATCTGTTTCGTATATTATTTAAATGCCATTAAAAAAAACATTTTTAATTTTGAAATTATGTATTTTTCTTATATTTTCTACCTTTAAATTTTTCGGTTTGCTTTTAAGCTGACTTTTTTTTTCAGGTTGCTCAAATAGTAATGAAATAAACAAAGAGGCTCTTTTTGGTTGTATTTTTGATGCTCAAATTGGAAAAATTTTCTCTTGCAATGTTTGTTCATATTCTGCTGGAAGTGCTGCAACCTTACGAAAGCATGTGAGAATACATACTGGAGAACGCCCCTTTACGTGTCCTGTATGTGGAAACACATTCCGTATGTCTCATCACCTTAAACGACATTTAATTACACATAAGAAGTTTCTCTAAACTTTTTTTTTTGGAATTAGTGAAAAATATTTACTAAACGCACCCAAAGTAAAGTTTTAATCATAATAAAAGTTCTTAAGTGATTTGTGCTTGATATGTATGTATGTGAATGTTGTAGCTTAGATTTATATAAACTGAATTCTATTTTAAATGTCTTTTTCATTGTTAGTATTTCTATTTAAATTTTTAAATACTTGTAATGTTATAATAACTTTTAATTATCTATTGTTCAATACATAGGAACTTGAAAAATACTCTTTTCCTCTCTCTCTTTTTTTTTTTTTTTAAAGAAAAATAGTAACAATAGGCAGTAAAAAAACTCTAAAGTTCCATTCTGTAAACCTAATGTAAGGGAACTGACAATGATTCTCATATATTAAATAAATTACGCTTAGAAGTTGGCTGCTTTAAGGAAATAAAAATGGAAAAAAAGGAATCTATCTTCTAGTATAATTAATCATTCACAATGCTATTAATTTTTGAAAAATGTATTTGGTTTTAGTTACATAATGCAGTTAATTTTTAATCCAACTTAAAAATCATTCTCTGATTTGTTCGCAAAGCCACAGATTAAATAAAATCATTAATATTAAATATAGGATTATGGTATACATGTTTACTTAGCTGTTTTAAAATTATTTATCTACTATGTTATTAAAAATTTCTGAATTCCTATTAGTGTATAATAAGACTTCTGTTTGTAAGAAAAGTTGAAAACTGCTAATGATTTTATTTATTTCGATGCATGTACATCTTTTTTCTTTAATTTATATTAAAATATTACTGGTTTGTTCAAAGGAAAATAGTGAAATCAAATAGTTAAATTCTGGTACGAAAATTATTTATTTTGTTAAATAATTACACCTTTTTCATTAATATGAAGGTGGTTCTCAAGTTTTTAATTATTTATATGTAATTATTTACTTGTTTTTTAGAAAAAATAAAAATGAAATATTTTAAAAATTATATCTTTAATGAGATTTATTTTTCGAAATTTATATTTTGTGTAAAAGTGTGCAGTTCATATTTTTCATCATGGTCTGTAGAATTTTCCATTTTTTTCAATGGTTTCAAATTCTGCATGGTATATTGCATCTTGTTTTTATGCTGTTCAAGTATAGTTAAGTTATAATTTTGGTAGGTATAGTTAAAAAATAAAAATAATGCATTTCATGATAAAAATGCATGCTTTTTTCATGACCTATGATATAATTTTTTCACTGTTATCCATGCTTTATTCTAAATTCTTTTAAGTGGCGCTAAAGATTAAATTTATAATTATTTCGACACATAGTTCTAAGTATTTATTAAAAGTTTTAATTTATTTTTCTTTAACCGTTTTTACTTTTCCTTGTTTACTATTTTAAAACTTATCTCTCAATGTGAAAATTTTTGTGCTTCGTTTTATGATAAAATAAATGATAGTTAAAGATTTGTATTTGCTTTTGAAAGTAACTCATTTTATAAAACAACAAATTGTTAATGTTTTAGAAATGGTTAATGCTTTGAAAGGGTAAGCAAAATAAATGAAAATTAAAAACT